ATATAAAAACTAAAACAGCCTACAGTATTTTTACAGTATTTATTTTACAGTTAAAATATATATATTTATCAAATGAAGTCTAATGTCACAACTGATCATGCATCCCTTTGAATGTTCATACCTGATCGGTCCACCAGTGTAGATTTCTGCCTTCATATCATCTCTTCCACTAACGGCTCCATAGTCACCCACTTTCCACAGCGTGTAGTTCCGCACAGGTTTGCACTCRTCGAAATGCGTACAAGTCCCACAGGCATTGAAAGGATTACATTCTGGAAGGAAAGGACCAGTCGAGTAGAATTCCTCGCTGAATGTGCCAAACGTTCAGCTCCCACCTTGGTCAACGGCCTGGTAGTTGTTGCAAGTCTCATCGGGTATTCCGTGAGCATGGGCGTACTCCCACACCCCGGCATGGTCTCCGCCGTGACAGGTGCCAGATCGGGAGCAGTCGATTACGTGTTGGACAGACAAATAAGCAGATGGCCACGCTCCTCTGCGCTTGATATTGATACGATCTACAAGCCACAAGCTGAAACGTTACAACCGCTGGAAATGAATTACTATATTTAAGTTCTCCTAAACAATACTTTAGCTTGTTTAATCAAACAAATAAAAGGGATGTGAATGATGGGGACATTTCCATTTAGATTTCCCAATATGGTGCCAATAAATCTATGTGTAAAAGCAAGCGAAACATGTTACTTGATTTTACCTGCAATGGCACTGGTACTGCCATGAGCCCAGCAAGAACCACAGTACTGAGGGATGTGCTGGTTCCGAGTCGCACTGGCATAGTTGATCCCGTTTACGTTCCTCCAATCCCAGGACTTTGGCAGCTGAGCAAAGTTCAGGAGTTCATGAGCTCGATGTGCAGTTCTGTGAAACAAGTTTATTWAATTTTTTAATCCACCTGGTTCAAAGGCAAGACATTAAAAGCTACTGTAGAAAAAAAAAGAGKGTTCCATAGTTTTAAAAGGAACCTTGCCATAACTCAGTCTAAAACAACTAGCTCCAGTGACAGTTTGTTAGGTTTTCATATTTCATTAACTTACCTAACTCCAAAATTTGCCTTCCTCGGTGCAGGTTTATAACATCCAGACTTACTAATTAAAAACTCTCTTGCTATGGCAAAATGTGCAACTGTTATACAAATAAAACTCACTAACTGAATCATGCTGACAGAACCTGCAGAGACACAGTCTGAGGCAGACACACCTGATGTGTTTTAAGTTAATCAGACGACATTGAACCCACCTGAGAGTGGGTTGAAGGTGAGTTGGAGGGCCTGTCTAACTAGGTGTGTCTTCCTCATCAYTCAGCCAGGTGAGGACCTAAAGTGTTCAGGAAAGAGGAAGAGGTGCTGTGGCTTTGTTGGTCAAAGTGCCTGTCTAGAAAACAGGAAATCTTGGGTTCAAATCCCAGCAGTGTCTGTCTTTAATCTAATAATTGATGCAAGGGAGGGGCTGAATTACACAAAATTAACTTTTTTGAGCTATAATATATCACATTAATGTTGTTCCCTCATCAAGAACATAGATTTACTTTTTTGATAGTGTTGTTTTGCCTCATTAATGCACSTTTGAAAAATCCTTGCATCTCCTGCGGTAGCCATTCAGAGCTGCCTCGATGCTTGCTGACACAAAGCTCCGCCTATTTGTTCAAAGCTCCTCCCTGAAGCATTGTCACACCGTACGTGTCGAGTCATATGGATTTTCTGTAAAAAAAAAAAAAAACAGATTTTCCTTCATTTTGAAGATAAACAAATGTATAACAAAATCTCAAAAAAATTTTCCTTCTGCACTTCAGGGGTTGACGTGTAGCTTTGCATTTTTGTGAAGACATTCTGAAGTGGGAGTGTCAGAAATGGTAGGAGGTTCTTGACAATGGAATTTTCATAACAAATGAAGGTAACATTCGATTGTGGTATATAACTGAACGCTGTGCCTGGAAAATAAACAATCTGGCTTTCCTTTAAATAAAGAAAATAACGGTATTAAAAGCCACACAAGTCTATGAATTTAAGCAGGATTATATGTAAGATGTAAACATGAGACAGTCCACAGGGTCTGCTGCCAACTCTATATTTTTGAGAATCTTGATGAATTAAAGGAGCTTCTAACACAAAGTAAAGCTGACAATGTTAGAAGTCCAATACAGCTGTGTGAGCTGAGAAACAAAAACACTTAAAAACCAAGTGTTCAGCTTCATAAATAAAATCAACGATTGTTTCAAATTTCCACCAGCTTGTTGATAGAAAGTCATCATTATGTTGCTTCATTCCCACAAGTCACTTTGTCTGTTTCTGCTCTAACAGCCTCCCTGAGACAACAAAGACTTGATCAGTCTTTTCTGTGAGACTGCAAACAGAGCGTGATGCTAATTGACTGCCTGCCATCTTCTTCCATCTGCAGGAATAGAAAGTCATATTTAATACGTTGATTAAAATCTAATCTCTCCATGTGAGTCGGAGATGAAAGTAATTCTCGTGTAAGGGAGACTATTAATATTTAGATATAGAAAGGAAACTAGATCTCAGATTTGCAATCAGCTGGAGGATAGTAGCTYAATTTTTTAGGCTGTCAGTGAGCAGGAAACAAAAATCCTTTTTTAATATTTAACTTTTTAGCTTATATCTGTTTTTTGCACATAATTATCCCTGTAAATAAATTTCTACTATCTATTTTGGTTCAATCCATTGTGTGTTTAAGTTTTAGTGATGCAATTTTTTTTTTTTATGATTTAATAATTTTAGTCATTTACTTTCAGCTATGGCAGTATTAGCACAATAAATCAGACAGAGAAAGACAAGAAAAGCATGCAGGAGGGATCTCAAAGTTAATGAAGATCCTAAAAATGCTCCCAAAACATGAGAACGTAGTTTACCACTGGATAAATTGTGTTCTTTCTTTTAAAACTGCATCATGAATGAGTGCTGAATGACTTCCCTAAAATTTGCTCAAGAAATTGAAACTGAGTTTTTAAAGAGAAAAATAAAGGAAAAAAAAAAAGAACTGTCACTTAAAGCTAAATTACAGAAACTACCGTATTTATTCGTGTATAATATGATCTCATGTATAATACAACCCACTCCCTTTTTTTTAGCTTAAAAAGCATAAAAAGTTTAATCCTCAAACTACCTCCAATTTCATACAGACTTCAAGATTTTTCAGCCTTTGCAGTCTTTATACATATCAGTAAAATGATCATTGGACTGTTCATTTTATTTTAACAACATATGTACTAAAAGGTATTTTGACAACAAATACTGTATATATCAGCTGTAGCAGCATCGTATGAATTCTGGTATTTTACACATAGTCCACCAGGAGGTGCCAACACAAAAGTCAGAGACTTCACATGAGATTTGGACCATCTTCTGGGGGAAAAGCAGATTACTTCCTGCTCGTGAGCTGGTGGGGAAACTTTTTTCAGAGATACAAACTTTTTCAGAACACCYGTAGACGGCAGCCATTACAGACGAACATGTGTTTGTTGTTGTTCCAGGAGCGGCCCGGTCACACGCTAATGTTATTAGTTCGTTATCCTTACTGAGCTGCAGGACTGCTTTCCCCCCCTTTTTTTCACATCATGTCGCCTGCCTGGATCTGTTATCTCGCTCTGAAGCTCGGAGGAGTGTCAGAGGTAAGCTCGCTTCAACTGCTTTTCACGACGCGTCTCATTTCTGGACTCAGGCTTTGTGAATGAAGCCGATTAAAATACATAAGTAAAAATATTTATCCGAGTATAATACTACTCCCCAACTTTATGGATGATTTTATGGATTAAATTTTATGTATTATACTTGAATAAATACGGTAGCTAAAAGCTAAACGAATTAGAAGGCTAGCCTAATTTTAAAAGTASCAAAAGGTAAAGGCTAGCTAAAAACATACAGCAGTAGAATGGTGGCTGACAACTAAACATAAAACTTTGCTAAAAGCTAAAATAACAAGACAAAAGTCAATCAAGTTTACGCTGAAGCAAATAGCAAAGAGATTAGTGTTTTGTTCTGGAAAACTATTAGTAAGTTGAATACTTTGAATAGTATAAAAGTCAAAACAAACAAAAGTCATAGCAATCATCTCTTAAATGAGCTGAATAGCTAAAAAGCACAAAGTATTTAGACAAAGTTRGCAAAAGAAAAYTAAAATAAAAGCAGGAAAACAATGAGGTGTYTGTTTTCCTCACATAAACCACCTCTTTATTAAAAAGAGCAGCAGATTAATGTTGTTTGCTAAACTTAATTGTGTTTTCTGCCAGGAAATTCAGTGAATATTTTCTGTGCAATTCTTCAACAAGAATAATTGAGGGGCGGCTTCAGCCACTTCTTCATAAACCCGCTGTCAAAACAAATCAGGAAATTAGCTTTGTGARGCTTTCACAAAGTTGGACTGTGCTGAATGGAAATAACTGAGTCCTGTGAATTTAGTTAGACTGCAAAAAGTTCATCTCAAGGCCCCGTCACACTGTAACGTTTTAGACAACTTATGCCAACCTGTGAAATCGTTGAAGAWGACATTTAAAGAAATCAACTGGAAGCCTCTTAGGTTTTGAAATGCTAACAAATTGATCGAATATATAGCTTTTATTAAAAATTTAGTCGAAAAACAAGTCATGTTGGCATAAGTTGTCTAAAACGTCATAATGTGACAGAGCCTTTAACACATTTTGGTCTGACTGATCAGGAAGAGAGCAGGATGTTTGATTATTAATCTTGTTAATCTGGAAATTTTCCTTCTTTCAAGAAGTACTTTGTCTTATTCCATTAGCAGATTATTTCACTGAATTTGAGTCTGAGTTCTGTCAAATTTCTCAAATTATGTGAAATAATCTGCCATTGTTGAAAGACAGTTGCACTTCCTGAAATGAGAAAAAWTCCCACACATTCTGCTCTTGCTCAGTCTCAAAACAAGACCCCAAAAATACTTTTTGAATGGATGTAAGATTGAAACACTTGGTCAAATAGCCATTTTTTGCAGTGGAAAAAAAACGGTTATATAACTGAGTAAAAATCTTAACAAACAGTTGTATTTTGTGCTGATTTTTAAGTATAAATCAGAAAGATTTCCAAATCCACATGAGAAATAAAAAAAAAAACACACCAGATTGGAGCTAATTGATGACCCATCCACTACCATGCCTGCCTGTTCCAGGGGCATCAGTGTGACATCTCTATGATTAGCATCATTAGCTGCCTCCCCGTTCTCATTACCGTCAACATCGTTACGGTGCTCGTAAGCCAGGTGATGGATTTATGTGGATGTGCTAGTTTATGTTGTGTGTGTGTATGTGTGTTCACAAAGAGTACACAACATCCTCGCTCACTGATCTGTGTGTAACTTAGAGGTCAGTTGTCTTTCACTGGCATTTCCTCGGGACAGATCTTCACCCCATAAATCTCCACTCACCCATCAGGTGTGTTGAAGGAGTGAATGTCAGATAACTGAACTGTTCAGTTAAAAGAGCAGCCACAGGAAGCTCTTTACAGGGAGTCTGCCTAGGTTTTGCACTTGGATGAACAGGAGAAATAAAATAAAACTCCAGCGTAAAACTTGAAGAGTAAAGGAATAAAATGAAGAGATGATAGTGATTTAAATGTTTTTTTTTTCTTTTGGCGTCTTCAGAGGTGAAATAATGCAGATTAAAATGTGAACCACTTTCACAGAATGGTCTAAACCAGTGGTTCCCAAACTTTTTTGTCTTCCGACCCCCAAAATATCCATGGCAAAAACTTGTGACCCCAAATATTACTGGTCTGAGTACATGAACTTCATTAATAACCCTAAAAACACAGGCTTTTTGACAATCTAAACAGCTTATACACAAATATAAAAACTTATTTTTACTTTTTTGTGTTTTTGTAACAATTATAGGGAAAATATTGCATCAACAATTATTTTTATTACCCTTTAAATTGATTTCTGGAGATTATCCAAGGTGCTTCCTGACACATAATTGGGTCCCAAGCCCAACTTTGGGAACCAAAGTGCAGTGGTTCCCAAACTTTTCAGCTTTTGACCCACAAAATAACAGTAGCAGAGACCTGTGCCCCCAACTATTTTTGGATGATAAACATTTGTATCAGGTCAACTAAACATGGGCATAGTAACAATATTTTTATACTACATTTATCCATTTTAAATATACTAACCTCATTTGTAACAACTAAGGCAAAAATGTCGTTAATTCAGAAAAATTTTTCAGGACCCCACCTTGACGTTTCGGGACCTCACTTTGGGTCCCGACCCCAACTTTGGGAAACACTGGTCTAAATTACAAAGCAAAGCAAACTCAACCTTATTGGTTGCTGCTGAATCGTAACAGAAATGCAAATGTCAAGAACCAACTGCAGAATAAATCCTTCTTTWCAAGTGATTTCATCATTTGGGTTTTCAAATTCAACAGGAAGAAAAGGACAAAAGAGAGAGAAAAAAAATCACTCGTCAAGGTGAATCATAATCTACTTCAAAGTGACATTGTTTTGAAGAAAGATACAGTACAAATGATTCGAAGCTCCCCGCTTTAATCCGCCCAAAACTCTTGCAGAATATTTCACCACTTGATCTACAAAAGGTACGATTTTTAAGACCTGAAATTGAATGGCTTGGTCATTATTTCTAGTGGGGTCCTCCTGTCGTCTCGAAAGCTGCCACATTTTCCACATGAGGAGATTTCAAAGGCT